TCTTCCGACAACCTGGTACTGGTGAAACTGCAAAAGAACACAATTACGAATTCAATCAGATTCGTCAAAACCCAGGAGATGAGGCAGAAAATCAACGGCGAAAAGATCCGAAACCCTGGAGAGATCATGAGTTTACCCTGAATGTGACCATTTTTTCCCTTCAGAGACTCCGCAGACAATTGAATCCTAGGGTTCCTGCGGCTTATAAGCGAGATCGTATGATAGAAATGCAAAAACCCTAATTTAAGACTTGTGTGAAGAAACAGCCCAATTAGATATCCAATGACCAAAATAGAGCCCATGAAGATTTCCAAGGCCTATAACCGCAAACCGTAATTTTGTATACCATACCTATACAAAAGAAAATGTATATGGTTTTTAAAGTTAAAAGTATTTTCTTTAGAAGTTTTCAATAAAACATTTAAATAACGTATGTATCCAGTGGTGGAGCTAAAAAAATTTCATTGGGACCATAATTAATATAATGTTCAAAACTATAAAAAATATATATCTTCACAAAAATATTTACGTTTTATATTTGAATTTTGCGATTTTTTTAATTTTTTTAAAATTTATTCATAATAATTTTATTTGTAACCATCTAAAATATATATATTTCAACTATACAAATTATATATCATTCTATATCATCCAAATCAATTTTTTCGGATATTAAAAAATTGATCTGATACTAACTATACAGTTAATATATAAGAATAAATTTATTAATATAATAAATATATAAAAAAATAAAACAAAAATATAAAAATTACTTAAATAAAAATCATAAATTTTTATATATATTTAATGTTGTTGTTTTTATTTTTTGTATTTGATTAATGATTGAATTGATGGTGATGATTTTTTATCCTATAAAAGAGAATCAAATTTGAAGAATAAAAATTATTTATAAAAAGAAAAAAGAAAAAAAAAAGATTGAAGAGAGTAAAAAGAAATAGTAAAAAAAAAGAGGGGCCATGTAAAAATTATAATGGGGCACTTTGTTTGATATTATATTATGGAGTAACTTATAAATAATTATTTTTTAAAATAAAAAGAAAGAGGTGGCTCCACTTGGTCCAACGTGAGTCCGCCCCTGTCCATATCGGATTTAATTTGGTTAAAATTCTTTTCAGTCAGATACGATTTTTATTAAATTTCATTAATAGCTGGAACTCAATGTAAAAATATTTTTATAATCAATCTAAACTACACATATAGCAGTAAAAATACATGTTTTTAACCTGAAGGCATAAAAAAAATATCCATTTGTAACACAAACAAAATTTAAGAAGAGCATTGGTTATTTCAAGATGACATAACATAAGGAAAACACCACATGAATCATCACAAACAAAAAAAAAAGACAAAACAATGTCCAAATCAAGGTTATTTGGATTTCCACTGTTTCAATTACAATTAATTTTATTACCTAATAATCAATTAAATCTTTGATTTTTTAAAATTTTATAAACTCGAATCTATATTTTTTATTTAGGCAAAACTCCATAAATCCGACATTTTTAACGAAGTTATAATTTTGAAAAATTACACCATCTCTATTTTTTTTTCCAAGGCAGGTAAAAACCGCACAAGAGACCTAAAGAGCAGTCTTTGACAATCTTTTCGGTATAAATCTCAACACAAACGCACCATCCCGATACATTTCTGCTTCCATGAAACTACCAGAGGAAGATGACTTACAAAATCGGATACCGATCGGATCCAATCCGCAGAAAATTGACCCGAAAATTCGAATGTTCGATTATTATTAGGCCTTTGCTTTTCCTGCCTGTAGAGATTGGAGCCTCTGTTGTAACTTCAATATCTGTAACAACAAAAAACTTTGATCAGTTGCACTTTGCAACTTCGAAATGAATTGCCAGAGTAACAGAGAAAGCTCATTCTAATCTTTTTACCGACGATAAACTCAATCCACAAAAGTGCATTTTCGGTCGAAGAACCCCCTAGAGATCCATGAACTAGTAAGGGTACTATAACTTCATAATACGAGCTTTGAAGCTAACATGCCATAACATTACTAGGGCTCCTCCCCAAAACGATACATACATCCTCGTAAGAACATATATATGTATGCGCCTAGATGTCTTTACGCAAGTATATATATCGTATCAGAGAATGTGCTGAGGAGGAGGGGAGATGAAAAACATACCGAATCTCTTTTGCTGTTTTGTTTTTCTTCCATATCTTGGAGAATTGCATCAAGCCGTTTCCTGCAAAAGAATATAAATAATTACCGATGCCCTGATAACGACATGTTTCTCCGTTGTTTAAATCGGCAGCATCATCAAGAACACTTCAAGATACCCGTAAGGATCACAGCGTTTACCGAAGAAACGAAGCAAGAGAACAATGGTGAGGGGCTAAGTATGACGAATATGACATGTTCGGCATGGAACTGAACTTAACTCGGTAGGATACATTTGAGTTTGAACGAGAGAGAACGAAACTTACAATTCGGCAGAAATGTATTCAATTCTTTTGCGAACATTTGCATTGGCTTCTGCCAAGTCCTGCTTCACCAGCACTGGACCAATCAGTTTGTACACGTTGGCCCCTTCTTCCAACAAATCCAACTCCTACAGAAACAACAAAAAGAACAAAGCTTCAACATGGGAGCTGGCTTTCAGACACTGGATGAAGAAAACAATAGCAGAAAAATATGAGCATTGGCATCAAATTCATCCCCTAATTCCAATTTCCCAGCCAGCATCAATCAGATTTGAACACAATCTCCGAACATATGGTTCTTCCAAGATTTCTGCGTTTTCTGGGTAATAAACAAACACTTGTGTAGCGACAACAGCCGGAGAAAACAGTGAGGCACATACCTTGAGGACGAGCTCATTCTCACCAAGTTGGATCGTGTACTTCTTCCTCAACTGGTGATTCTTCGCGATATCTGAGAAATGAAAAGAACGAACGCATCAGGATGGACCGCTGCCCAATCTGAGCACCGAAAACTAGGGTTTACAGCTCCGAGAATCTGATCTAGGGAGCTAATGAAGATCCAAGGAACTAACCTTTCTGAATTTTTCCGAGATCATTGGCTTTGTTCTCAAGGTCTCTCTGCAAATCCCGAAGAGCTGCTGATGAACTCATCGTCTTCGCCGTCGTGAATGTTGCCTCCTTGCTGCTGGTGGATCCGATGCATAAAAGCTGAAGCCTGTGTTCTTTAATTGGGCCGTTAATGGGCTCATAACGCAAAACCCACTTCCCACTTTTACAAGTCTATGGTAGACAGACAAAATTAGGCGAGTTATTAAATTAAATAGGGAATTTGCCTTGAACATTATTTCAATTTCACAAAATTACCATTAATCTCGTCGGATAAATCCCGTAAAAATATAATTTCGCAATTTAAAAAAGCTTCATTGGAAACCCAGGAAAATGTAATTGTTAACGAAAAATAGAGAAATTAGCTTCCCAATGAACAAGATATGCAAGGGTTTGATCATGAACAGCATTTTTAGTTCAAAAAAAAAAAAAGGCATTCAGCAGGGGAAAAAAAAAGCTAACTCTGGTCAGGATTGAACTCTAAAGCTTCACACTACACTTAAAAGGGGAATATCTCCATGAACAAAGGGTACCCCCCAAATGGAGAAAATCCACTAGGAACACAAACACTATTTAGTATCTACAGATCCATAATCTTCTTACTATGATGAGGCCGCTGCTCTCAGACAGAAACCCTTTAGAAACCAACCTCTGGTATCGACGTCGAGTATATCAGATGTGAAAAAAGCAGGTACCTTCTCGAGGGAAATAACCCGTTTTCCGAATACCCTGAAGCCCCGAACCCTCTCCCATCCGCCGCCTTCTCCAAGATTCTCTTTCGAAAGCAGCTTCAACAGTCTTCTTCGCTCGGGGCAGGTACAGTGAAAATGGTGAACCCCCTCCCCCTAGTCCGTGTTTCTTACCGGCAATGGATGAGCCTCAGTGTTGAAAACAAACTTATCCAATGGTATTACAGAGCTATCTCCAAAGAGCAAGTATAAGTATTTCAGGGTTTCCCCGAGGAAGAACGTCTCCATCTTATCCCTCCGGTGAGGAGGCACTGTGGTGACATCATCCAATGACGTGTATCCACCGGAATCAACCTTTGTATATTTCTCAAACGCTTCAAAGATCTGCCAGCCTTGCTCTCGGTATCTGCAGTGCAATTACAAGATGTAAGATTGTAAGGTACTTTCTGTTGGGTCAGCACAAGAATCTATTCTCTGTGAACATCTAGCACCACAATGACTGGGAAAATACTGAAAATCCAAAGGAGAGCTCCATACTTTGGGTCTTGTGTGATTCGATAAAGGACAAACAGTGATTCAACGGTTTCAGGACGCAGCAGATTGTGCCGATCAGCTTGCTTTATGATTATGTCATTTGCATACATGGAACTCTTGTTCCCACCACCAAGCCCGTCTTCAGAATAGTCCTGATTAATCGAAATCCAACACGATATGGAACAAATAAGTGAAAAGAAAATGCACAAAAGGGCAAACACCATCAAGTCAATCCCCTGCAAGCAAAATTTCCATTACGAAAATGAAGACATTCACTGGATATTGATTTCCTCATCTACACCGAAAAGGGTACACTTGACTGACCTCAGTATGAAAGTAAGCTATTTCTGGAGCAAGGCCAGTGGCAGTCACTTCATACATCTCAAAGCATGTTTTTGCTAAATCTTCTGCAAGCTTCAAGTTTTCCATGTCTTCGAAGGTCAAAAGATTTTCCTTCAGAGCCTTTTCCCTTGTGATGCCCTTGGTAGCACCAAGAGCAAGGGTCCCGGGCAAGAAGCATACCTGGAAAACAAATCAAGATCAATCATAAGACAGATGTCTGTATAACCAATCTCTTAACTGGAAACCGTGCATTTTGAAGAAACTCCCACATTTTGAGAATGTATCAATTAACCATTACGGGTTTTTTTTTCACATACCAAATGATCCATTTTTGGACTGAAGTCACTCTGAGATCCGTAAGGTAATTCCCCAACAAAGACCAGGCCGTTTGGAATTGATTTGCGCACGAGCAAATGCCTGACTCCTTTCATTGCCTCTATGTACATGTCATGCAAATATGTCAAATTACTGTTCTGCTTGGCTCCTTGCTGAAGCCACACTTTAATTAAATACTCATAGTAGCTATCACCACGGGAACCCAGCCTGATATTCTCTCCACTGAATGCTCCAGAATCAGGACTGCACCATGTAGCAAGAACACATCAAAAACCAAAAGATACATAGACACTATCATACTTGAAACAGAATTCAGTGAGCACAATGACATCACTATCAATTATATAGCTGTGAGTCTGGTGAGATGCAGACCTGATATAGATTGGAACAAGACCTTCTGTCTTTGGAAGGGTTTTTATATGAGATAGAACCTTCATCGCCTCGGTACTATATTTTGGATCACCAGAAATCTCACTGAGGTAATTAAACTCAAGCTGTAAAGTGGACACTTCTGCTGTACTGCTTAGTCCCCCAGGAGCAGGATGTGCTGACGAGTCATGCAGTACAACATCACTAAAGGGAACTGGTGTTGGGCTGGAAATAAAAGCTGATAGTAAACGATCAGCCAAATCTTTGGCAACATCTAGATAGACAACTGGTTTCGGTCCATTATGCGTCGAGTTCATCCCTTGCTCTCCTCCACTGAAATGGTATGCGCTTAAAAGGCCGCCAAGAACACGTATAGTAGTTTCAAATAGGTTAACCTGACCCTTTTTCTTAATTCTTTCTAAGAGATGGGTCTCCACCCATGATCCCGCTTCGGAAACAACATCATCGAGACCCATTATCATGGCTGTATCAAGGGCATCCACCACAGTAGCACCAAGCCCTCCTAGGCCATCTACTCCATGCTGGCTAACCGGCATAAGCTCATCATATCCCATGGCAAACTTTTTATAGCCAGACCATGCATGGATAAAAGCATCCTTCACGCTTTGCTGTCTGGCTCTCCATTTTGGATCAGAATCAGAAACCTTAGACCCATTAATAGAACTACCACTCAATCGTCCTTCATCAGGTGATAACCGAGGTGGAATCCTGGGAGCCCTTCTCAAAAGCTTCCCTAGCCTGAGGCCTTTGACAAAAGTGACCTTTCCTTTCCCATGCTCATCCAGAGCAGAATCATCCGGACCTTTACTTACCAACATAAGACATGCTAATCCAAAGACCAGTATTAATATAAGAAACTTCCCCGTACTACAGCTTGCACAGTTGCGTTTTGTGTTAAGGGTGAGCAAGCTTTGCGAAAGGACCTGGAACAAGGAAAAACCCCATGATTTTCCAAAGTGCAACGCCCAAAATAAGTAAATTGTAACGAAAGTGACAAGAAAACTAAGTACAGAAACATAACCTAGACAAAGATTTGATGTTTGGAAATGTATTTCATGCACACACACACACACACACACAACCAGAAGCTTCAAATCCTTCCATTACTAGATTTAAGAGTATGTTTCACAAGTTACCCGACTCTAGAACTGAGTGCCCACTTAATACTTCCTAATTGGACACCCAAAGAACCAGAGAATTTCCTACAATCTGTCTAAAACTAGAGACTATACCATAATCCAAGCTTCTCTGGGGATGCTGATGATTTCTCCGATACAAATTCACAGTTCACACAACCAGAAACCAAAAACTCAGGTTAGATCAATTAAAGAGGAAATCAAACGCAAAATCAGTTTTTAAAGTTTCATTTTTGCATGGAAGGAGCTTACTGATCCCGAGATTAAGGGGCTTGGCATTAATATGTGACAAAAGACACTTGACAGAAAAAATACTGACTTTACTCAAAATTCATACTTCCTACTTATGTCAAGTTTACAATGCTAATTTGCAATTTCACTGCTACGCGAATCCTTCAATTGTCTCACTCCTTGTTCTACCGCATGTATTCATGCTATTCGCTATTTGATGTTGATGCGAAGCAATTCAATTCGAAATTTAAAAGGCGAAACGAAGCTTAAACAATGCTAGCGAAGCAAGAACCGCAAGCATCAGATCCGCGGGAATATCATATCACGAAAAGGGCAGACTTTCAGCGAAACCCAAATCGAAAATCAAAGATCAGAGATCTGAGATACGGCAAACGAAGGCCAACCTTCAAGGGAGATCGATGGCGAAACTTGGCGTTGTCGTAATGAACATCTCTCATTGAGTAGGGAAGAGATTTCGACATGTTCAGATCGGGAAACAATGAAGATCGGCCTAGGGTTCTCTGCCGCCGATCTGAACGGGAGAAATTCCGGGGAAAAGAGGGAAAATTTCCTCGGGGATCAGTGATTTTGACGAGAAAATTTCCTCACCAAAAAAGATGACCGAGAAATCTCACACCTGCTCAAAAAGACTTTGACCATTCACCTAAGCTTGTAATCGCTCGATCGTTTCCAGGTTTTCTCGTCACTCGATTCCTTTTGTTATTATTTATTTATTTTTACCACCTCAATTTCTTCAAAGTTTTCTAATATAAATAAAATAAAATGATTTGCTATTTCCATGGTTTTAATTTTTTTCCCCTGAATTTTGTAACTATGCATTTTATAATATTTAAAAAAATTTATTTCGAATATTGTCAACCCCAGATAAGATCAAGACAATTTCTTTTACAAGGTAGACAAGCAATTTTAACGTCAATTTTACGTGACCAAGAAAGAGAACTAAATTCCAAAACTATGAGGCTTGATTCGTAATAAGAAAAAAATGTTGGGGCTACTTTATAATAATCTCTTTCAACTCGTGACTTGGTTTAGATTTTGCATTTGCATGGAAAGGGTATACATCATTATAACATGAGGTTCAAAGTATATGAGAAATTGGCATATTGAAGAGATCTCATGACTGTAATTACTTGCCTTGTACAATTTATTGCAGTAATCAACCAATTGGGACCGGTTTAGACAATTTCAATGGCAGAAATTGCCAAGTGCAATTTATTGCGGTAATCAACCAATTGGAACCGGTTTAGCCAATTTTCAATGTACAGTGAATCCATGTGGGGAAAAAAGATGAAGACGATGGACCGAACATGTTAAACTGAAGTTTACTTATTGAAGTAAAAGTTTTGCTACCTTTTTTGTTTTTAGATAACCGAATATCTTAAACCAAGGTCCAGATTCATCTCGGAACCGAAAGTAAATTAGGTGATTTGGAATATATACTCCCTCTCTAAATTTGAGGCTCGAATTCGAGACGGAACATATGTTTTATTCTCGTTTCACCGATTGAACTATCCTTAATTGTTTTGCTACCTTCTTTCTTTCACAAACCCTAAAACTCTATAAGATATTCCTCTAAAAAAAAGGAAAAAAAAACTGACACGGACAATATTTAAGAACCAAACCGTTGTACACAAAGAACAAAGAACAGACAATCACGGAAAAAAAACGGATTTTTTTTTCTTCGACCGGAAAAAAATGACTGCCATATTTCTTCTCTGTCATGTCCTAAACTTCACAGTTCCTTATAAACCCATGTTTAGATTATTCTTAATTTTTCATCATTGGATCTTCATCAGGCTAATCATCAAAATAAGCTTTTATAGTATACCGTCTCCCGGTATAGATCGGTTTATTTCGGTTTAGTTCACAAGTTCCCTCTTTTGCCTTCAAAGGCATATAAATAATCCACTCGATTAAAGTCATCTTTTTTATTATTATTTTACCAGCTGTGAATTAATTAATTATATGAGATAGGTGAATTTGTTCAACATCAGAATTAAAACCTTTCATAAAAAAGGGACATCTAACTTGTGTTTTGCTTTTGTAATTATAGACATACTCTACGTCCAATTAGGATGTCAAAACGAGTCGAGCTCGCAAGCCAACTCGAGATTGACTCTTTTTTTACCGAGCCGAGTCAAGAATATCTGAATCCGAATAAAAAATAGGCCGAGTGAGCCAACTTGCCACGAGCTGAGCCCAAACGAACTAGTTCGGTCGGCTCGCGAGCTGGCTTAAAAAAATTAGAGTTTCCTACGTTGAAACTTGAAAGTGTTGATATTGATTGGTATGTTATTTTGATTTGGAGATAAATTTTTTGTACATTGATTAAGATTTGAAGATGATTTTTTGTACATGGATTAACATCTGATTGTACATGGATGAATTAGGATTTGAAGATGGTTTTTTGTATATAGATGGATTGTGATCTAATCTATTTGAAGATGATTTTTTATATATGGATTGTGATTATGAATATAAGTATGATTTAATGTATTGATATATTCTTTTTTATGTTGATATATCATTTAGATATGGTTTTGTATAATTTGATATGATTTTTTAGTTATTTAGAAAAATATGATACCGGTTTGCAAGTCAGCTCGCGAACTAAAATAACTTGGAGTGAATCAAGAATTTTTTGGTTCGAATAAAAACGGGTTTAACAAATAGGGTTAAAAATAAGCTCATTCGAAACGAACCGATCTAATGCGTGTAGATGAACGATGCGAGGAATAAGATCTTTTTGCCAAATTTAATTATATATTATTATAATATTTGTTGCTACAACAAAAAAAGGCTGTTTTAGATTAGGATCATAAAAAAAAAGTTTTTTTCTTGATAATATTTAATTGTCGCCAGAAAAAAAAGTACAAAAAAGATGGTGGCCGCTTTATCCGTAAAGTGCAATTGAGTGCAATAATAATAATGACGATAATAATAATAATAATATAATTAATTGAGTGTGAAGTCAACGCCACCACCGCACGTTCGCCACCCTGTCACTCTCCGCGTGTTCTTCACTCATCGACTCCATCGTGCGCCGTATTCTATTCTCTTTTACTATCCTACGCTATATCGTGCGCTTTTTTTTTCATTCAGTTCGCTATCGTGCACCTTACATATATTAAATTAAACCTTATTAGGTATCGTTTTCGTTGTAATCTTCTTGTTTTTTTTTCGGTTGGTGATTAAATGAAACGAGTTTTCTGATTTAGGGAAGAAAATTCTTACAAAAGTGATGACAGAAGAAAGATAACAAAAATATCTTAAATTTTGGTCAATAAGGGTATTTAATAACTAAAACGAATTACTACATTAAAAAATTGAAAAAAAGGTCTACATCAATAATTTAGACAAACCCTAATGAAATATTTTATTTTCACAAAAAATGACATTTGTACTTCATGCAAATATTTGAGATATCGATGGATAATAGAAAAAATTCAAACCACTTAAACATAAATATAGTCATTTATCATTTAAATTTTCAACTTTAGCAGAATAAATTAGAAATAATCCTTATTCTTCGTATTCGATGTGCAAAAATATCATTTGTTTCGTTGTATTGTTATTATTATTATTAAAAAATATTCAAATATCGGGAAATTATAAGACATACGATGATTAGAGAAATAAATATATATGATCATCATATCTTGACAAAATCAAATGACACAACCATTACTTCTGTAATAATAATGTTGTCAAATGGACCACATCCCATTATTTTTCCAATATTGTCAATTGACATTACATTTTCCACCAACAAATTGGAATTATATTTTCCTGTATTTGTTTCAAATATTACTTTTCAAAGAAAGTCAACTTCTTTTATACTGAATAATATAAATAATGATGATCGTTTCATAATTTTGAAAAGTATTACATTCTAAACTGAAGTTAAATATTATTCCGCTTCATTTATTAAAAATCACAACCACCAATACAAAAAAAAAAAAAAAACAGTTTCAACGCTCTTCTACTAATCTTTCGATATATTAGTAAATTTGACTATTTGAGTGATTAATGGGTAACTACCGTTTGACGTTAGATTATAAATTTCTATATTATTATATTGATTTATTTTTTTTATATTTTATTTGTTTATTTCCTTTCTAATAACTGGAAACTCGATGTTTAAATTGAAGAAATTGTTGCAACTTTTCCTCCGTTCAGAAGAATAATACCACGTGGCAAAAGACCACATTGTGGGCCCGGCTCATTGAGAACGGTAAGAATTAGATTCCGTTTTGTCAGAGTCTCGGAACGCAGTAAACACCGTTGACAAAAAAAAGTGATAATTCATCGAAACGGCATCGTTTAAGCCTGATTCTCAAATCACACATATTTTACATATATATACGCACATACACATGTACATATAATACGTGTGCGTGTGTTTTGAAAAGCACCCCCGTACACACACACACAGGTTCTTCGTCACGGATTAGCTCTGTCTTGCTTTTTCGGAAGTCAAAAGATAAACAAGGTCTGTCTTTTTTTTTTTCTTCTTTTTTTTGTGCTCAAGTTTTTCATTTTCAGATCTGGGTCCTCGGATTATCTCGTGGGGAATAAGAAAGTTTTGACCTTTATGAGTTGATTGATGATTCTGTGTTGTGATTCGAGAAAATTGATGAACTGATGGAGTGATTGATTCTGGTTTTCTTTTCTTAGCGGGGGCAGTACTAGATTTCCTGGTTTTTTCCCTTCATTTTTTAAAATTTTGAGTTTGTTTTAGCAAAAAAAAAAAAACGGTTCTTTTGATCTTCCATGAGTCGCTAGATACATGATGATGATGATCAGGTTTGTGGGGGTGAATCTGACAGAATCTTTGATGAATCCATGGCCTGTCTGTGTCGATAATCGTAGAAGTGCAAATCATGATTCTGGGGTTTTGTGCTCTTCGATCATAGATATGGATATTCACTGAGAAACTGAGCACAGAAACTTGATTTGGAAGAGAAACTGTGGGGGTTCTTAATCGAATGAATTTCCTATGAATGGGAATGAAATGCTGTTTGACGATGCATGTTCATGAGTCTCATCAACGGGTACTGATTGATTGCAAACTCTCTGACCAGAAAACAAAGAACAAAAAGTGAAAGCTTTCGTCCATCCATGGAGGATCTGCCTCCTGGGTATCGTCCCAATGTTGGTGTCTGCTTGATAAACTCCGATAACCTGGTAATCATCCATCTTGGATTCTCTCTCTCTCTCTCTCTCTCTCTCTCTCTCTCCCTCTTCCTGTTTCAAGATCTCTGGAGTTTCTTGATCTGTTCTGTTTCAAATGTATTGTCCGAAAGGTGTTCGTTGCTTCAAGATTGAATGTTCCTGGAGCATGGCAGATGCCACAGGTGTGTCTCTTCGATTCTCTCTTCCTGTCTCTGGTTTCTTTTTACTCCTTCTCTTTGTAACCACTACGGATATGGATATGTACATATATACAGGGAGGGATTGAAGATGGAGAGGATCCCAAATCAGCAGCCATGAGAGAGTTAAAGGAAGAAACCGGTATTGTCTCTGCCGAAATCATAGCAGAGGTATGTCTTCTCCATATCTCTCTCTCTTTTTTTCATGTTCATACCGTTCCCGAGATGTCTCACACTGAATTGATATGAACAGAGGGTTTTACACAAATTCTGGCTGTGTTCTTTTTTTGATGAAATGGATACAAAAGGTTCCTAAATGGTTGACGTATGATTTCCCACCTGCGGTGAAAGCGAAGGTGAACCGTCTCTGGGGCGGTGAATGGCACGGCCAGGCCCAGAAATGGTTCGTCTCTCTTCCCCTTTCTTTCTCTTTCTTTTTTCCATTCTTGGTCATTGTTCCCAAAAGGTATCGGGTATCCGAGTTTTTCGGGTGTATCTTATCCCGGCTTTGTCCCTGCCTCCTTGGGGTTTCTCGGACTACCCGATCACGATTTTGTGAGGACCGGGTATCCGAGCTTCAGATGCTCGTGCAGACACAGTTATCCGGCCAGTAAAAGGAGGCAAGGAAAAGGTGAAAGAGGCGAGCCTCTTGCGTCAAGGTCGCTTAGGGTGGAGACGACATTGCTTCTCTCTCTCTTTTCACTCGAAACCAATTTTTCTTGGTGAGAAGTCTCGTCCTCTCCCATTCAAATCCATAAAAACCTGATGCCTCTTCTCTACTGCTCCACATCCCCTTGGCACGGGTAATCTCCAGTTGAAATCCGAACTCGAATCCAAAAGTCAGATTTTCGCCAGCGTCCCGTACTCATCCCGCTGGTGGATGAATACCCAAAATTTCGGATACACAAGATTGCAAGATGGATACTCGAAAGTAAAACTGAACGGAACCTTGGACAAATGGAACAGGTTTCTGATGAGGTTGAAGGAGGACGAGGACGAGAGCGAGATCAACCTAGCGAACAACGAGGCGGATTCGGAGTTTGCGGAGTGGAAATGGGCAAACCCCGACGAAGTGATCGAGCAAGCCGTTGATTACAAGAGGCCTACTTACCACGAAGTTATCACAACGTTCGCTCCCTTCTTGAACGACGTCGGAAGA